GCGCCGCAGCCCCAGCCTCCCCCGGGGCCCCTGCCTCAAGCGCCAGTGCCCCAGGCCGTGCACACGCTGCAGGGAGACACCCACAGCCCGCCGCTGATGTCCTTCCAGAGTTCTTCTGCCTGGTGAGTGACTGCCGTGGACCACTGCGGCTGTGGGGCGCTTTTCCTTGGCGAGCCTGGAAAATGCTGGATGTTAGGGCTGCTGAGCCGGCCCACCGTTTCCTGATTATTTGCTCTTCTTGTTGGCCAAGAGGGATTTGGAGCTTCCCGGGGCAGCACACGCTGGAAAGTCAGATGAGAGGTGGAAACAGCCGCAGAGAGAAGCTTGCTTGCAAAGTCACTGTAGTTAGAGCCCAGTGTGGGATTTACAGGCACTGAACATTTGGTGGAGTTTAGGGTTTCCTGGCTGGCCAGGCAAAAGAAGAAATTGGATGACTTTTTAGGTTTTTAGGGTGTTGGCAAAGGAAACAAATCAGTCTGTCAGTGGCTGGGGAGATTTTTAAGCATGAGGTGATAAGATAAAAATATTTGTTGTTCCTCTCCTGTACAGACCTTGAGGCGGTTCAGCCGTGGCTCAAGGGAAAAGAAAGAAACCTGCAGGGTGGGCTCGGCCTGGCAGTGCCCAGATCCACCCTCCTGCATGGCACCTCCCATTCCTTTCTGCTGGGTTCCAGTGCTGGTGGGGTTGAGTGGCCTTGTGCCAGGGGCCAGAGTGGGCATGGATTCCTGGGCCAGGCATCCAGTTGGGGCTTGAGGGGCCACAGGTTCAAGCCCATGAGCCCAAGGTCGGCTCTGCCATTCCCAGCTCCTTTGACCCCTTTTACCTTGCTTCCTGCCCTCAGGAAGGAGTCAGGGGTAAGGGCGCCCCTCCTCAGGCTGTCAGGCACGTGGTAGGTGGGCAGGAAACTTTCCTTGCGTCCTCTTTGGAGGTGCATCGGAGCCAGCTAATGCTCATTTAAATATCTCTTAGGTAGTGACCTTTTCAATAATGAATGGCTTGAATAATTAATAAGATGCACTTAAACCAGCCTGTGCTTATTGATCGTGTAATTGCCACATTTATCATGCAGGAGACAGACACGGCCCTGCCTGGCTGCGTTTGACAAATGTACACAGAGCCTGTCCTCAGGGCCGGGCCCCCAGCCCCGGTCCTTGTAAGAGCTGGAAAAGCCAGTCATGAGGGAGTCCAGGAGCCAGTCCATCAGGCTGCTGGCCAGCCTGACCGTGAGGTGTCCCGGATGTGGGTGCTGGCCACAGACACCCCTGGAGCGTGTGTCACACTGGTGTCCTGGTGACCACGAAGCTCTGAGGGTGAAGCTTGCAGGCCCCAGAGTTTGAGAGCCGCGGAAAACAGGCACAGTCAAGATGCTGACAGCCCAGGGCGTGCAGTTTAAAGGGCAGCTCGGTCAGCAACTGCTCTTCCAGTGAGCAGTACGCATGCGCGGGGGCCGTGCACGCCCACTGGCCCGCCCCCAGGAGGCCGGGACGGTGCAGCGTGGGCGCCCGGGTGCCTCGC